AGCAGCAGTAGCAGCAGCAGCAGCAGCAGCAGCAGCAGCAGCAGCAGCAGCAGCAGCAGCAGCAGCAGCATCTGTTCACCTCTTTGGCGAGTTCTTCGTCTTTCCCGCTGCTGATGAATTCGCGCCAGCCCCGGCGCTCCTCTGCTGCTGCTGCTGCTGCTGCTGGGCTTTGCGCCCCCGGCCTGCCTCTCTTTCCCTGCCTCCGCTTCGCTGCTGCTGCTGCTGCTGCTGCTGCTGCAGCGCTGGGGGGCCCCCCGGGGGCCCCCTCCTGCCTGCAAAATAGAGGGTGAGTGTCTATTTTTAGCTGCCGACGTTCAGCGCGAGGCGGCAGCAGCAAGTGCAGCAGCGGCTCCGTCACCATCAAAAACCTGTCAATTGTTGCCTGCTCACTCGCTCGCAAGCAGCGCTAAGCAGCAGCAGCAGCAGCAGCAGCAGCAGCAGCAGCAGCAGCAGCCGTAGCAGCAGCAGTAGTAGTAGCAGCAGCAGCAGTAGTTAGTAGCAGCAGCAGTAGCAGCAGCAGTAGTAGCAGCAGCAGTAGCAGCAACAGCGACAGCAGCGATAGAAGCAGCAGCAGCAGTAGCAGAAGGAGCAGCAGCAGGGCAGCAGCAGCAGCAGCAGCAGCAGAAGGCAGAGCAATAGTTCAGAGTCAAGTCGGCTGAGAGGAGTCTGGACTGCAAACCCTAAACCCTAAACCCTAAACCCTGATCCCCCAAGCCCCAGCGTCCAAGCCCTTCCAAAACCCTAAACCCTAAACCCTGAACCCTGGCTTCACCGCACAGCAGTTGCTGCAGGAGCGGCTACTGGCTCCCACCTCCAAACCCTAAACCCCAAACCCCAAACCCTAAACCCTAAACCCTAAACCCTAAACCCTAAACCCTAAACCCTAAACCCTACCCTTGAGAGGTGGCAGCTGCAGCTGAGGCTGCCGCTGACGCCTGCGTCGAGGTGAACTGCTGCTGCTTTGCCTTTAATGTCGTAATGCAGAGGCCATCCAAACTAATTAAAAAATAAAAACAAAAAACAAAAAAAGAAAAAAGAAAAGAAAAATAAAAAATGAAGAAAAAGATAAAAAAATGAAGACAGTGGAGGCAACAGCAGCAGCAGCTGCCCTGCTGCAGCCCCGCACAAACCCTCGAGAAAGACCGCGCAAACAGCGACACACGCCCTGCTGCTGCTGCTGCTGCGCTGCTGCTGCTGCTGCTGCGCTGCTGCTGCTGCTGCTGCGCTGCTGCTGCTGCTGCTGCGCTGCTGCTGCTGCTGCTGCTGCTGCTGCTCTTACGTTTTTGACTGCTGGCAGCAGCATCCAGCACTGTCTGGGCCACAAGTCGAGGTCCCTTCTGTCGACGAAGACGGACTTGAAGCTCTGGACCCTCGCCTGCTGCTGCTGCTGCTGCTGCTGCTGCGGAGCAGCAGCAGCAGCAGCAGCAGCAGCAGCAGCAGGAAGGTAAGTAAAAGCCTCCAATGCAAAAGCCTCCACTACAGCACGAGGCAGCAGCACCTGCAGCAGCAGCCGCGTGCTGCGGGCGGAGAGGCGAGGGTTTACCCAGAGGGCTTTTAGCTGCCTTTCGTTGGAGGCCAAAGACTCAATGAGGCATCCCGCAAACACTTTTTTGATTCCCGTGGTGTTCAAGACCTGCCCGCAAACCCTAAACCCTAAACCCTAAACCCTAAACCCTAACGACGCTGCGGACCCCCGAAAACGGCGCTCCCGGGCTCCTCTCCGTTGCGGAGCCAGCCCCTCCAAACCCTAAACCCTAAACCCTAAACCCTAAGCCCCAGGCCCCCGCGCCTCTCTGGGCCGCGCCAAACGCAAACCCTAAACCCCAAACCCGAACCCCCAAACCCTAAACCCTAAACCCTAAACCCCAGCCCCACTCTCTGCCTCTCAGTCGAGGGTTTGGGGGCCAAACGCTTGCTCTGCACCGTCAGCAGCAAACCATCAAAATCGCTGCTGAGGGTTTCTTTGCCCAGCTGCAGCAGCGCAGCAGCAGCAGCACGCGGCAGCGGCTGTAAACCCTAAACCCTAAACCCTAAACCCTAACGACGCTGCGGACCCCCGAAAACGGCGCTCCCGGGCTCCCCTCCGTTGCGGAGCTAGCCCCTCCAAACCCTAAACCCTAAACCCTAAACCCTAAGCCCCAGGCCCCCGCGCCGCTGGGCCGCGCCAAACGCAAACCCTAAGCCCCAAACCCGAACCCCCAAACCCTAAACCCTAAACCCTAAACCCCAGCCCCACTCTCTGCCTCTCAGTCGAGGGTTTGGGGGCCAAACGCTTGCTCTGCACCGTCAGCAGCAAACCATCAAAATCGCTGCTGAGGGTTTCTTTGCCCAGCTGCAGCAGCGCAGCAGCAGCAGCACGCGGCAGCGGCTGCAGCCGGAAGGGCAGGTGGCTGTTGCGGGGGTTGCTGGGGGAGTTTGTTGCAGAAGCTGCGCGCCCGCAAACCCTAAACCCTAAACCCTAAACCCTAAACCCCAAACCCTAAACCCTAAACCCTAAGGCGTGTTGCTGCTGGGCGCGCAGCCCCGAGACCAGTGTGCAGCTTTGCCCCTCTGCGGAGCTCAGGCTCTAGGGTTTAGGGTTTGGCTGCGGCTAGGCAGAGGCCTAGGGTTTAGGGTTTAGGGTTTAGGGTTTAGGGTTTAGGGTTTAGGGTTTAGGGTTTGGCGGACCGGAGAAGCTCCAGTTGGCCTTGACGCGCTTGGCCAGCAGCCGCTGGTGGTTTAGCAGCTTCAGGTGGAAAGGGTGCTGCTGCAGCTGTGCTGCTACTTCGGCCCAGCTGCTGCAGCTGGGGGGCAGCTGCAGCGGCAGCCGCTGCTGCTGCAGCACCATCCCGTGTCTGTCAAACCACGCATTGCTTTCTTCAATCAAAAGTCTCTTTTGCTGCTCCCCCCACTCACAAGTCATCGCCTGCGCTGCTGCTGCTGCTGCTGCTGCTGCTGCTGCTGCTGACGCGGCGCGGAACGAACAACTGCTGCTGCTGCTGCTGCTGCTGCGCCGGGGGCCGCCCCCGGACGGCGTCTGGCAGCGCTGCTGCTGCTGCTGCTGTCCTTGCTGCGGGCCCTCCGGCCGCTGCTGTTGCTGCTGCTGCTGCGCCCGTTGCTGCGGGATCTCCGGCAGCAGCAGCTGCTGCTGCTGCTGCCGAGCAGCAAAGGGAAGAGTTGACTACGGGCTGTTCACTGGGAAGCCGGGGCCCCCCGAATGAAATAAGAGGACCTACAAGTAAATGTGCCGCTAATTTGCAAGCTTTCGCATTTTATATTTGTTTAATTATTCTTTTTTGTTAAATTCAATTCTTAAATGGTCTAAAGAGGTCCCCGGAGCTGTCGCTAGACCCCCAGGGGGCCCCGACAAACCCTAAACCCTAAACCCTAAACCCTTGAACCGCGGTCTTTGCTCTGCGCGCAGACGGCTGCGCCGGAGTTCAATTAAACCGCATTTTTGCGCTAAATTTGAATTAAATTTATTAAATTTATTTAATTTAATTTAATTTAATTAATTAATTTAAATCAAAACGAAGTTAATCCGGGAAAATTCGGGAGCGCTGCTGCCTAGGTGTCCTGAGGAACTGCTGCAGCCAACCAGCAGCTTATTTCATTTCCGCCTTTTTCAAAATTCATTTAAGAATTATATTTGAAGTTTCATTTCAGCAACTCTATTTGCTGCTGCTGCTGCTGCTTCTGTGCTGCTGCTGCTGCTGAGACCTCCGGCACAGCAGCAGCAGCAGCAGCAGCAGAAAGCAACAGCCTGTGCTGCTGCTGCTGTTCTTGCTGCTGGTGCTAATTGATGCGTTGCTGCTTCTCGCGCTGCTGCTGCTGCTATAAAGCGGGTTGTTGCCGCTGCTGCTGCTGCTGCTGCTGCTGCTTCAATTTGAACCGATATTGCTGCTGCTGTTGGTGCTGCTGCTGCTGTTGCAGTTGCTGCTGTTGCTGCTGCTGCTACTGCTTTTGTTGGGTTTGACGCCCTCTATCCACCTTCTTCCCTCTTTGCCCCTGAACAGCGGCACAAACCCTAAACCCTAAACCCTAAACCCTAGCAAAATAGATTTGCTAGAATGAATTTCGATGCCATCAAAGGAATAAAGATTTTGTCTTTCTTCAGTGTTTTATATATCTCAAAAGTTTCTCATTTTATCATTTTAAATATATTTTTGTTGCAGCCACTGCGCTGCCTGGATATATTGAGGGTTTAGGGTTTAGGGTTTAGGGTTTAGGGTTTAGGGGATGCAAGTGAATAAAAGTGCAAAATATCTTTCTAAAAGCATTCACTTGAAATACATAAAAGAATGCACGCAGTTGTGGAGGTGTACATACACCGCGTGCATGCGCAGCTGTGGGGTTGCAAAAGGCGCAAAAGTTTGAAAAATAAAAATTTCAAAAGTACAAATATAATTCCCAATTATAATTTGAAGATTACCTTTCATATTTGCATGCAAAATGCGCAAAAGTTCACTTATTTTCGCATGCAAATACTTCCATTTCTGCTCAAAACGCCTTTTTTGGACTTAAAAAAATAATTTACTTGGCACCAAAGCCCCGACTTTTAGAGAATAAATTGAGCATTTATTTGCATGCAAAAACGAGGAAAAGTTTGGAGATTTGGAAATCAGAAAAGTTCAATTTAAGTCGAATTAAAACTCTTTTTTCCACAGCTGATAAGTCTACTTCTTTTTCCTGAACAAACAAGCCCTAAACCCTAAACCCTAAACCCTAAACCCTAAACCCTAAACCCTAAACCCTAAACCCTTAGCCTGCCTCTCGAGACTCGAAGCCGGCCGAAGAGCTGCAGCGCCCCAACTCCAAGAAACGCTTTGCCCGAGAAAAGGGTTTAGGGTTTAGGGTTTAGGGTTTAGGGTTTTGGAAGAGACAAACAAAAGAGTGAAAGAAACGGGGCTACATGCTTCAAAACATTTAATAATGCAAGGCAAATTGTTTAATAAAAGTCTGCACATTTTTATTAAATAAATATATATATTTTTAATGAAATAAATTGTATATAAAGGAAGTTATATAATATACAAGAAATTATGTAATGCAAATCTATATATTTGTATTAAGATTTAAAAATATATAAAAGAAGCCATGTTACATAAACATAAAAAGATACAAATATAAATATTTACACATATATATAAATGCATATATGCAAATAAGCAAATAAATGTGAGTATATATACTTTTAAATACAAATATGTATAAGAAAAATACGGGAAATATAAATAAAAATAATTGTAAAAAAAAAGTTGTATTACAAATGTATCTGTTTGCACAAGTGTAAATAAATATATTATAGAAGTATTCTCAAATACATTTATTTGTATCAAATTGAAAATCTGTATTAAAGACGTTATTCAGTCAAATAAAAATAGTTGTATAAACGCAAATAAATGCATTATAAAAGTTATTGAATATAACTACATACATAATATATATAAATGTAATAAAACAAATAAATACATCACACATTTTGTATAATATAAATACACATATTTGCGCGATAATAAACAGATACATACTAAATTTCATTTATACATTTTTAAAAATAGATAAATGCATTATAAATGTAATCCAAGTTAAGTAATACAAATATTTATATTTGTATTAAAAACCCTCATCATAAAAGCCATATAATATAATTATATATTTATATTTAAATAAATATTTAACACGTAGATAATATGAATTGTATAATAGAAATCTGATCATTTAGAAAAAATAAATATATAGAAGATAAATTGTATAAGTATGTACATTTACAAGAAAATGAACGTAATAGAAGTTATAGAAGTATAAACATAAATATAAATAAAAACAGATATAAATATAAGCATAAATATAGGTATAAATACAAAGAAATATAAATGCAAATTTAAATGCAAATATAAATAAATATAAATATAAATATAGATATGCATATAAATATAAATATAGATATGCATATAAATATAAATATAAATATAAATATAAATATAAATATAAATATAAATATAAATATAAGCATGAATATAAAGGTAAACATAAATATATTATCACATTATGGATGCACGTGTAGATACACCCTAAACTTGCATGAGTGTACATACACTTCATTTACGTTTGAAAAAAATAAATAAAAAGTGAATAAATGCATTATATAAAAATGTGCAGATAGACAAATAAATGAGAGAAAGATAATGAATTATTTTATGTTTTTGCAGATAACTTCTTGAAATAAACTTTTATTTCTTTAAAGATAGAAGCATTTATATTTCCAAAAGTGAAAAAAACCCTTTATACAGATAATGCGTTTATATATATGCGCGTGCTGGTTCATGAGGAAGAAGGGTTTAGGGTTTTGAGGGTTTGGGGTTTAGGGTTTTGAGGGTTTGGGGTTTAGGGTTTTAAGGGTTTGGGTTTGGGGTCGGATGGTTTAGGGTTTAGGGCCATAAGGTTTGGCGTTTGGGGTCATTAGGGTTTGGGGTTTGCAGAAATAAGGGTTTGGGGTTTAGAGCAACAAGGGTTTAGGGTTTCGGGCGTTTGGGGCGTAGGTTTGCGAGGGTTTGCGTTGCGAGGGTTTAGGGTTTAGGGTTTAGCAGCAGCGAGGCTGCGGGCGCGGCTGCGGGGCGTTTCGCGCGGGTCTTTGCGTTTTCGAGTTTAATTCCCTTTTATTTAAAAAATTAAAAATGAATTTCTGAAACAATTTAAAAAAGAAAAAATAAATGAAGTAATTTGTTTGTGGGTGGGCAGCAGCAAGGAGTCTGCGGGCAGCCGGGAGCGGGTTCTGCTGCTGCTGCTGCGTCGCAGGGTTTGTTCTTCGGGGATTTCTTGAACGAATTTGGATTTTTGAATTAAAAATCAATTTTAAATCTAAATTAAATGCAATTCTTGTTAATTATTTCCGAGAAAAGCCGGGCGAGCCGCAGCCCCACGCGCTGCAGCAGCAGCGGCTGCGCAGGACGAGAGCAGCAGCGCGAGCAGCAGCCGCAGCGGCCGCAGCAGCAGCAGCAGCAGCAGCAGCAGCAGCAACTGGCATTCGATTTGAATCTGCTGCTGCAGCGAGTTGAAAGGACTTTCGCGTTTGCCCGGAGTCGCCGTGGAGCCGCTGGGGTGTATAGACAGCTGCTGGAAACCCCGAACCAACTGCAACAGTGCCTGCTGCTGCAGCAAACCCCAAACCCTAAACCCTAAACCCTAAACCCTGCCATGCTGAGGCTCAGCTGTGCCCAACAGCTTTCCATTTTGCTGCCCCAAATTCCCCTAGGGTTTTGCCCGCGGCTGGGGGCCCCCCCCCACCCGCGGCGCCAGCTGCTGGGTGCGCCATTCCACGCGGCGCTGCGGGGCAGCTGACGCTGCTGCTGCTGCTGCTGCTGCTGCTGCTGCTGCTGCTGCTGCTGCTTCTGCCGCTGCTGCTCCTGCCGCGCGCCCCGCTCCCGCTGCTTCGCCCGCCGCCGCTGCTGCTGCCGCCGCCGCTGCTGCTGCTGCTGCTGCTGCTGCTGCGCTGCGCCGCCCCACGCCCCACGCAGCACCCATGGGGGCCCCTTCCCCACAAAGTCAGCAGCAGCTGGATACGACTTTCCAAGTCGATCCCGGGGCTTCTCCGGGGCCCCCTTTGCTTTCTTTGAGTGGGGAGACGCAGCTGCTGGAGGCTGGCGCAGCAGCAGCAGCAGCAGCAGCAGCAGCAGCACCAGCGGCGGAGGCCGTCGAGGAGCCCGAGGATGGCGCGGCAGCAACAGCAGCAACAGCAGCAGCAGCAGCAGCAGCTGCAGCAGAAGCCGGGTCGCCGGCGTGCTGCGTGTCTGTGGCCGCTGCTGAGTCGGGGGCCCCCGGTGGGGCCCCCTCGGGGGCCCCCCTTGGGGGCCCCCCGGGGGCCCCCCCCCCGGGGGCCCCCCCGGGGGCCCCCC